TCCCATATTTCTTGAATGTTCTGCTCCTGATTTCTTATCATTTTTGCTGTGTGGTCTATGTTCTTTTCAAGATGATTTATTTGATCTTCATTGTCCTATCTTCTAAGTGGTCTACTCTGTTAGTGATGCTTTCATTTGAGTTTTTAATTTGGTTTATTATTTCCTTCATATCAAGGATTTCTGTTTGTTTGGGGTTTTTTGTTTGTTTGTTTGTTTGTTTTATATAACCTCTGTTGGGAAAACATATAACGGCAGCAGYACCCCAGAGAAAAACCCCAACATGACCCTCTTTCTCCTCTTTGTTTCTTTCACTGGTGCGAAACATTCCCGTCAGYGCCAATGTTCAAATCCTGCTGGTGGGAAGCTTTAGCCCCAATAAGAATTAACTTCTTGGGCTCCAGAACTGACACATGGAAGAGCTTGCCAATAAACGGGCGACCTGTTATCTACCTCAGCCCTGCTACCTCTCCTTAGACCTATATAAACACACAGCCTTTGGTAACAAAGGGGAACCTCTCAGGTGATCTGTGTCGCGAGGTGTAGTGTGGTGCGGTGTCTTCCAGTCTTACAACCTCTGTCTCCCTGTTGAGGTGATCTTTTGCTTCTTGGATTTGTTTAYGTAGCTCATTGTTGAAGTGATCTTTCACTGCCTGTATTTGTTCTCTTATGTTTTCTTTAAGATCCCAAAACATTTTACCATGTATATCCTGAAATCTTTCTGTCATTTTTTCTGCTGTAGTTACCAATGCTTCTAATGATGTGTTGTTTGATTTGTTTGTGGCTCTTTCTTCCCTGTCTTTTCACATTGCTCATGTGTCTTCCTTTCCACCTCTGTGGATCTAGTGTGTCGTTGTTTTTACCCTATAGATTTGTAGTGCTCGTGTAGGGTTCCAAGATCTCACCTTTGTGGGGAAGGTCAGTCCTCTTTAATTTYATTTTAAACAGGATTTTACACRATTACTGAGACTGGCCTCACACCTGCCGTCCTCCTGCCTTGACTTCTCTACTCCTAGTCATGTGCCAACCTGGCTTCAAAATTAAAAAAAAAAATGGAAAAGGACTGGTGATATAGTTCAGTGGTAAAGCACCCTTTGTTTTAATCCCAGTACCAGGAGTGGGTGGGGGCGGGGGGAATCCACARTTTTTTTTAAGGTACCCAGGATTAAACCCAGGGGTGCTTAACCACTGAGCCACAATCCCAGCCCTCTTTTGTATTTTATTTAGAGACAGGATCTTGCTGAGTTACTTAGGGACTCACTCAGTTGCTGAGGCTGGCTTTGAACTTGTGATCCTCCTGCCTCAGCTTCCCAAGCTGCTAGGATTGTAGGTGTGTGCCACTGTGCCCAGCTCCACACTTTTTTTAAACTTGTTGTAATTAGTTATCCATAACAGTAGAAAGCACTTTGACACAACATACGTAACTGGAGAATAACTTCTTATTCTTCTAGTTGTACAAGATGTAGAGTCACACTGGTTATGTAGTCACATATACATGTAGGGTAATAATGTCTGATTCATTCTACTATCCTTCCTACCCCCATACCCCTCCCCTCCATTCTTTCCCCTCTGACTAATCCAAAGTACCTATATTCTTCTCTAGCACCTCACCCCCACCCCCATCGTGAGTTAACATCCACATATCAGAGAAAATACTTGGCCTTTGTTTTTTGGGGATTGGCTTATTTCACTTAGCATATTTTCCAGCTCCATCCATTTACCAGCAAATGTCATCACTTCATTCTTCTTTAAGTCTGAATAATACTCCATTGTGTATATATACCACATTTCTTTATCCATTCCACACTTTTTTGTTCTGTCCCTTAGGTAATCCTGGAGCTCTTCTTTTGGGATCCTGTGAAGTCAGGCCCCCCTGACCCGGGACTCTGGTAATGGAATGATTTAACTCTAAAGGTGGCATTTGACGAGTCTGGCATTTACATATTATGTAGCTGTTTGCRGCAAGGGGTCTTACAGGGCATGGCAGAGCCTTCCTCTGGTGACCAACTTGTAATGGAAACTGTGGGAGAGACTTGAGTGTCTGCCCTTGGAATGGGGGGAGGACTTGAAATTGCTGAAATCTGATCCACCTGTTCATCTTTACCAATTCTTTGAGTCAAGTTTGTGGCGGGCATTTTTTTGTGTATGCTTTTCAGAAAATGCTYCAAATCACTGTTAATATTTTATATTCCATTCACATCACCTTCATGGTGATACAAAATCTGTGGGCTCTGTTATCAGAGTTCTGGGACAGACAGGGACCTGACATAAGGGAGTCCCTGCTGACCGGGTCTAGCTACTTGCCTCAAAATCCAAGCAGAAAAGCTGGTGGTAAAAAAGGAWGGAAAAGAACTTATTCAGACCAGGTGAAGTGGCACCTGACTGTGATCCCAGTGGCTCTGGAGGTTGAGGCAGGAGGATCGCAAGTTCAAAGCCAGCTGCAGCAACTTAGGCCCTAAACAACTCAGCGAGACCCTGTCTCTAAATAAAATATAAAAAAGGGGCTGGGGATATGGCTCAGTGGTTAAGCACCCCTGGGTTTAATCCCCAGTGCAAAGAAAAGAAAGAAAGAAAGAAAGAAAGAAAGAAAGAAAGAAAGAAAGAAAGAAAGAAAGAAAGAAAGAAAGAAAAGAAATATTTATTCAGTATAGCCAGACTGGGAAGACTAGAATCCTCAGCCCTGTCTTTGGGGAGTATTGACAGAGCTCTGTTTTAATTTGGGAGAAATCAAAAGCAGGAGTTAAGAAATGCCCGTGATTAAGTAGTCTTGATCAAACTGTGGACTGGCTGGTCACCATATCAGGTCCAACTCTGAGAAATCCTCCCCTCCCCTTCCCTCCCCTCCCCATCTCCCTCCCTCCAAGTGCTGGGAATCAAACCCAGGGCCTTACTCAAGCCACAGATGAGCCCTGCCACTGACCCCCAGGCTGAGATGTTGCAATGTCTTAGCAGGTCACCCGTGAAGCCCATTGCATTCTGGCTTAAAGCTGACTTAATAATGACTGTTTTCTTTCTCTACCACTTTTCTAGATTGGCAGGAAACTTTGTTTTTAATGATATGTCCCCACACGACCCATGTCCAGAGGCAAGCGCTGGAAGGTGTGGCCTGGAGAGTGGATGGCCACCTGTGGAGGCAGCAGCCGCCCTGGGGGAAGGCATGACAGCTAGGAGGGTGACCTGTGTGATCCAGTCCATGCCCTGTCTGCCTTTGATGACTTCTTAGGGCAAGGGCAAGGTCACTCTCTGCCCCAAGAATCATGTGACCTGCTGTCCCTTCACCATTTGTGAAAGGACGATAAAAATACCCTGGACAGGGCTAGGTGCATAGCCCTGTTACCTGCCMGAGTCTTGTACTGCCTCAGTGACCTAGCTGAATTTCTACCTGGTCCTTTTCTTGTTTATCTTTGAAGACAGGATACCTGAAGGCCTAAAGTTCCTCTCCAGGTGGGCTAGCCCAAACAAGTTAGGTCAAGATGGACCACCTCTGACTTCATGATAATCCATCTGCATGCTAAATGACATATCTCCAGAGCTATGATAGTAGACAATGGCCATCYGATGACTTGGAAAGAACCATAAGAAGAGTGAAAAGAGAGCTGGGCTTGGTGAGCAARCCTGTAATCCCAGTGACTCCTGAGGCTAAGACAGGAGGATCACAAGTTCAAGGCCAGCCTCAGCAAATTATTGAGGCTGTAAGCAACTTAGTGAGACCCTGTCTCAAAAACAAAATAAAAAAGAGCTGAGGATGTAGCTCAGTGGTTAAGTGCCCTGGGGCTAAATTTCCAGTACTAAAAAGAAAAAAGAAAAAGAGGTAATACCTGGAGTCCCAGAAAATCGCCACCCACTCCCAGAAAAGGCATGAATATTCCTCCCCTTTATTTACCTACCCACCCCTCATTTCCTTTACCCCATCTCCCCGWGCAGCAGGTTGAGAAGTTAATTTGTGAGTCTCTCACAAATCAAGAATAAAAGTTGCATTCACTGCTCAATCCCCTACCCGCAAAAAACAAAGAAAGAAACCAGTCCACTTTCCTGAGCGAAGAAATTCCAGGACTAACTCCAGGACCCCGCAGCCCCRGGCTTCTCTCTCCTTTGCTCTAGAGCCTGCCCCCCACCCCCCACACACTGCCCACCAATCGTTACCCCATCTCATCTCCCCAGTGATTCCTGGCCTCCGTGTTTATTCCATTTACTCCATAAACAATCTTCGAGGCTCCACTGTGTGCCAAGGGCTTCTCAGCCCTGGGAATGCTCTGCAGACCCATCCTCGGTCACGGTCACGCAGGGTGGCCTGCTCTGTGCACCAGTGTAGAGTTCCAGGCGCAGAGCACTGTGGCCCCCCGACCCCCGCACGGGGTGCAGCATGGATCAGGGCCGGGGACACCTGGGAAGGATCTCCAGGGGGAGAGAYACAGTATCCCAAAGAGGGAGGACGCGGGAGCCCAGGCTGGGGAGGGAGGGCGGCCAGGGGCTGGGGCTGGGAGCTCAGATCAGGGAAGCTAGTTATAAGGGGCAGAGGAAGACTTTCTTTGCTCCAGGAAGCTTAGATGGACTCCATCCTAGGTTCCAAAGAAACCAGGCGGGAACAGGTTAGAGTGMAGCCGGGTGTGATGGAGGTCGCGGGAGGTTAGAAGGAGGGAGGCGTGGAGTGGGGAAGGGGGCAAGTGCAGCCCTGGGGAAGAGGCGCAGGGCCTGGGAGACCCCTTCCCAGGCCCCCCCACCCCGGCAATCGCAGTGGGCGCAGTGGTGCGGTGGTCCTGATTCAGCAAGGAGAGCAGGGGTGGGGAGGGCTGGGAAGGAGGGGTCCCGGAACGGAGGTCTTGGGGGCTGGCAGGGGGGGGGGCGCTCTCTGCGGGTGGCACAGGGTGGCCGAGGGTCGGGTCCCAGCGGCCAGCCCGGCGGCCCCTCTCTGGCTTAGCACGCCCGACAGCACTAACTCGGCGGTGCCCGGCCAAGCAAATCTTTTGTCCCTGGCGGCGCTGAGCCAGCAGGGCGCCGCYGGGTATATACTGAGTCCGGTGGAGGACGGCGGCGCACCATGGCGCAGCGCTCCGGGAAGGTGAGTCCTCGCCCTTCCCCACCCAATGCAAACCAGCAGGGGGCTGGCGATTGCCCCAGTGCGCGGGCATGGGGAGGGTGCAAACCGGGCATGGGGAGATGCAAACTGTTGTTCCGTGCGCCCTTTGGGGACTACAAGCCCAAGCAAAGCTGGCTTAATTTCTTAATTAAATGGAGCTGCCTGGCTGTTGGCTGCCKGCCTCTCTGGTGAGGGTGCAGAGGATGATCGCCCTCTTCCATCCCCTTTTTCAGGTGTTCTGGGGTTCTAACCACCTCCCCCAAGTCAAGAGCAGGGAGGGTGGTCAAACTTGGCTGCTGCTTTCTGGCTTGGGGTGGGTTAGACTTGCCGATCATACAGGGCCCTCCCTGGCTGCCTCTTCTTTATGAGAGGATGGTCAAAGTGTGTGTTTTGCTCTCCAGTCTTCAGGGGCATGTGGGGCTGTTTCTCAGCAAAATGTTGAGCCTTGAGGACCTCCAAATCCTTAGGGTGTTCAGGTCTCATTGAATGTCTGGGTGACTCTATCAAACCTGWCTTGTGCTGGAAGGGTAGCCAATTCAGATCTCTCTCCTCCTCCTCCAGTGACCCTGTCCTGGATAGTCCCATGAAGCCTTTGGGCTCCAGAAGTCCATTCAAGTGCTTCAGTGGTGAGAGCACCACTAGAGTCCTCTGCATGGGCCAGGTTATGTTTCAGAAACAAATAACCCCAGTAGCTTGGTAGCATACATCAACTAGGGTATCTGCCTCYCTAGCACCTCATATCCATCATGGGAATAAGTGCTTTTGTCCTCACACCCTTCCCTATGCCCCAGGCTGACAGTAACATGAGAAAGGGAAAGGAAGAGACCCCCAAATCAGTCATGCACTGGCTTGCAAGTGTCCATTCCYACACACCTTCCTTTGGCCAGAGCATACAGCTGCCCTAGCTCCAAGGGGCCTGGGAGAACTGGAAGCATTTACAAAGCACAAATGACAACAGTTACTGGGTTACTATACCTTGATAGGGTCCCTTGGGACCACAATTCTTGAGACCCAAGAGTTATTGAGTATTTGGAATTTTAGGTTCCATGGCAGGAAATAAGTTGAGGGGTTGTTGTTGCTTGAGTTGTTAAGTGTGGGGACAAGAGCTGGACTCAATGGCATTTGTCTGTAATCCCAGAGACTTAAGAGGCAGATATAGGAGGATCACAAGTTTGAGGCCAGCCCCAGCAACTTAGAGAGGTCTAAGAAATTTAGCAAGAYACTATCTCAAAATTAAAAATAAATAATAATAAATAAAAAGGACTAGGGATGTAGCTCAGTGGTAAAGTGCCCCAGGGTCTCCAGTCCAAACTAAAGTTTGGGAAAAGGACAACTTGTCCATGCTACCTAGTTATCTGTCTGTCAGGCCTTTAAAAAAAAAAAAAAAAGGACAAGGTGACACTTATAGAGTGTGCTTTTGAGGACTTTCATCCTGGGCGGGGCTTCCACAGGTTCAGCCTCTCCAGCTGAGGAGGCCCCGCCCCAGGAACCTGGCTTTCCAAAACATAAAGGTGAGTAGTAGGTGAAGTTTATTCTTCTGGAAAGATTTCCTTTAATGTTATTATGGATGTCTTGTTTTAACAATAAACAAAAATTGAGTTTAACAAATGTGGACACCTCGACAAAGGGGAACTTCCTGTCCCCAGAGAGGGGCTGCAGTTGGTCTGCTCCACGGGGGGCTTGGGCAGTGGCTGTGTCTGACAGCAGCCTGTTGACCTTTCATCCTCTGCCCAATCAGCACATGTCTCGGGCACCTCCTGTGCACAGCAGGGCCGGGCTTGGTGGCCTGGGAATCTGGGTTTCCTAGAGGATGCAGAGGTCCCAGATGACAGACCCCCAAAMTGAAAGGAGAGAAGCCTGACCCTGGCTCTGACCTGGCCTTCTAGATCACTCTCTACGAGGGCCAGCACTTCACAGGCCRGAAGCTGGAGGTCTTCGGGGACTGTGACAACTTCCAGGACCGAGGCTTTATGAACAGAGTGAACTCCATCCGGGTAGAGAGTGGCGCCTGGGTCTGCTTTGATCACCCCGATTTCCGGGGCCAGCAGTTCATCCTGGAGCATGGTGACTACCCCGACTTCTTCCGCTGGAACGGCCACAATGACCACATGGGCTCCTGCCGGCCTGTAGGAATGGTGAGCACCCACTCCGCCTGGGGGCTGGGGCCTTCCTGGAGTCTGTAGCAGGGTCCTCCCAACTTTAAAAGGCCCTACCCAGCCCCCTGCTGGCAGGAGGGTGAGGCACCTGGAGTTCAATCAGGGCTACCAGGCAGGCGAGCCCCTGGGAGTTCTCAGGAAACCACTTTAAATTTCCCATCCAAACATGTAGCTAAATTCTCTATTTAAAATGCTGTTGAAAATATTAGAAGTTTGGGGGCTGGAGGGTGTAGCTCAGTGGTAGAGCGTGGGCTCTGGGTTCCCTCTCCAACACCCAAAAAAAGAAAAAAAAATTATAAGTTTGGATTTGTGACCAGAAGGTGGAGCACTCAGCGAAAGTTAAGTCAGGCTGCCTGGATCCGGGCACCTGCTGGGCACATGGCCTTGTAGCCATTCTGCGCACCTCCCAAGCCCTAATCTTGGAATTGCTAATGGAAGAAGCTGAAGTATCACAGGCCAGTCAGCAGGACGTGTGGGGCAGGTCCCCTGGAGTTGCACAAGTGGCTGCATCTCACAGGTGGGGCGCAAACCAGGGGTGTCGCTCTTCCGTGGGGAGGGGCTTTTTATGGCTGCATGACTCAGGGTAGGATTTGAGGAATGAGGCTTAACCCAAGTCACAGCACTATCTGACCTGCTCTGAGTTCTGGTCCTTTGAATGGGAAATGACCAGTCCCCAAGCTCACAGTGAGCAGCCCTGCTCAGAGTCTGCTGGCCAGAGGGCCCTCCCTTGGACGCCTGGGCTGGGGCTCTGGCAAACACCTAAGGAATCATGGGGGCGGTGCCTCTCTGCCTGGGGCCCCCTCTCCTATCAGCTGCAAAACCGGCTGCACTTTGGCTTCTCAAATGTAAGAATACTTTCTTAGTATCTCTGCCAGGCCTTGGGCATTTGGAAAAAGGAATTAAAATGGTTGGCCCTGGATCCCGTATAATGCTATTTATATTAAAAAGATACTAGGCAGCCTGTGAATGCTCTTCTCAAAAAGGCCATGCCTGGGGCCAGCTATGAGGCAGACCCGTCCCCCCCACATCTGGCCTGTGGGGAGCTGGCCCTCCTTTGTCTTTTGGAAACACAGGAATCACGCAGGGAGATCCATGTACTGATGTTAGTGAGTGATGACGTCAAGGCCAGCAGGGATTTCAGCAAACGAGATGTGTTATTTGTTTTAGATTTTTGGCTTCATGTTTTAATAAAAGGTTCTATTACAGTTCTAAAATATTATCATCTGTGGCCTGCGGGCAGAGAAGTCAAAGCTGAGAAGCGCGTTGGTATAACCAGGGCTGGAGCCCCCAGGCTGAGCACCTGGAGGGAGTTAGTGATCTCAACCCTGGTCCAAGTGGCCCTGGTCTCAGGGCAGTCTTGCCCCCTCTCTGGATCTTGGATTCCTTCGTTGTAAAAAGAGGAGATTGGACCACTGGACCGATTCAGGGGTTTTGAAGCTCTTTTGTTGTTGTTGTTCTTTCTTTTTTTTTTTTTTTTGTACTGGGGATTAAACCCAGGGACACTTTACCACTGAGCTACATGCTCAGCTCTTTTAATGCTTTTTTAAAAATTTTGAGACAGTCTCACTCAGTTGCTAAGGGCCTTGCTAAATTGCTGAAACTGCTCTCAAATTTACATTCCTCCCTGCCTCAGTTTCCCAAGCCTCTGGGATCACAGGCATGCACCGCCACCCCCAGCCAAGCTTTTTAAAGTCATAGAACCGCCAACACATGTCATGTGAAAGAAGGAGCAGAGGGTGTGTGTTGAGATGGGGCCACTTACCAACCCCCACCTCAGCCGGCCCGGGAACTCTTGGGTGCCCAGAGCCCTGGGTGACTGCACATTCCTTCCCACCTGTACTGGTGGAGGACTCAGAGCGTTTTCCTCTTTCCCACCCTCCGTCCGCCTGTGCCTTGGAGCATGGGGAGCATTTCCGGCTAGAGATCTTCGAGGGCTGCAACTTCACGGGCCAGTGCCTGGAGTTCCTGGAGGACTGCCCCTTCCTGCAGAGCCAGGGCTGGACCAGGAGCTGCGTCAACGCCGTCAAGGTCTACGGGGATGGAGCGTGAGTGGCGGCCAGGGCTGCTGGTCTCCCTATGGCCCAGAAAGGCCTCAGTGAGGGACACTGGGCCCCAAACAGCTGTCAGAACCCTGCGTGTTCTGTCCTTGGCCGCCCCCTGCAGACGCAGGTTTCCTTCTGATCAGCCGAGGGCAGCCCATGCTCCCTGGGCCCTCCCCTTGTGTAAAGTGTCCCTGCCCTGAGACTTTCCAGTTGACCATCTCTCTAACCTTTGTTTGGGTAGATATCGTCCCCATTTTACAGAGGAGCAAACTGAGACTGGAAGGTTAACTTGGCCCTGGAGAGAGGCCCTGCTGGGATTGCAGTCTGCTTTCCAGAGCCGGTGCCTTCAGCCCCTCCCCTCAGGAGAAGAGCCCCAGGCCCGGTCCTGCCTCCCTCTATGGCTGGTCCAGAAACTTGGCTCTTGTTGAAGAAGCTAAGGAGTCTTCTGTATTTCTGAGGCTTGGCCTCAGGGACCCTCGTGAGGTGTCGGGAGGGACTGAAGGAGACCCAGACTGAGCTATAGATACTATCTACCTTTCTTCAGGGAGGTGTGACTTGGYTTGAGGAGTTGGTGGCATCTGGGAGTCCAGGGGTAGAATTCCAGAACAATTCACCCTGGAAATTTTGCTGGCTAAGTTGTGCCATGAGGCAAAGACACACCTGGGCATGCTAAATGTCCTGAAACCCAGGACACCGTCCCGCCTCTCCACAGCCTGGAGCCTTCAGGGCTGTTGAGGAACAGGGGGGGAGGCAGGGGCATGGATCTTGAATCCTGTGCCCTCGGAGGGGACATCTTGGTGGCCAGGAAGCTAATCAGAGCTGAAATGGTAGACTCCCTGTGTGGACCCAGAGCACACTTMTCCTTTACCTCTTGTGTYTTTAATTCATTTTTKTCTTTCTTCYGCGGTGCTGGGGWTGGAACCCACACATGCTGGGCAAGCGCTCTATCACTGAGCCACGTTCCCAGGCCCTGTGACTTGTAAGCCCTCTCCAAGGGGCAGCTGCATGGGTGGCGATGCTGGATGCCCTGGGTCTGGATGGTGACACTCCACAGAGCCTTTCCTGGGACCTGGGTGATGATGAGGCTGGGTCCCTCCATTTCCCGCAGGACAAGAGCGTTCCCTCTGGGTTCCATGCAGTTCCAGTTGGCCTGTCCCTCGTCCCATGTCCTGGAGGGCACTTGGAGGGAAATACACTGGCATTTCTGCCACTTCCACTTCCCATCTCCTAAAAGCTGAGCCTCAGGGCCGGGAGGTATTGCCAAAGTAGAGCACTTGCCCGGCCTGTGTCAGGCCCTGGGTTCAATCCCCCCGCCGCCCCCTGCCCTCTAAGAGAAGAATGAGCCCTTTGCCTTCCTCTCTCTGCCTCCTCCCCAGCTGGCTGGGCTAGGAGGGGGAAGCTTGCTGCGACGCCCAGCCCTCTCCCTGCCCTTTAGTTTGGGGGATGTCCACCTGAGCCCCAGGGTGGCTCAAGACACTGCTTGGGCCTTTCCAGCTGCTGCTAGGGGGCCGGGGCTGGCCCACTCGCTCTGAGCTGCAGCTGTGGGGTGGGAGGTCTTGCRGCACCAGGCTTTCCCCCAGTAGGTGCCCCCTCCCTGCTCACACTCTCCGCCTCCCTCCCTCTTCGTGGCCATTACAGACCCTGACTCTCCCAGCAGTGGACTACCCCAGGCACCAGGTGTGGGGTCAGGAGAGTGACGGGAGCAGACAGTGGGGAGGAGGGCCCTGCGGCCTTGGGCCCTCACTCTCCTTCCCTGACCTCATCTGTAGGCTGGGCTCAGGCTAGAAGGACTTTGTCCATGGGGAGGAAGCTCCTTCAACAGCAAAGTGCTTTTGGGGTGGTGGGCAAGAATTACTGGGGTCCAGGTGGGCACTCATTGTAAAGAGGCAGGGTCAGAGTCCAGGCCACATGGACCCCAAAGACAGAGCTGTCTGTGTGCCCCTTGTGGGAGGCCCAAGAGGAAGCTGCCCAAGGCCACTGCCTGTCCCTGAAAGCAGAGAAAGGCCGTTTTCCATGGAGAGAGTGAAGGGGAGGAGTCGGGGCCTGGTAGAGGCCCGCTGTTGACCACGGCGACTCCCAGTCCTCTGCTGGGGCCAGGCGGTCAGTTCAGGCTGCAGACCTCGCCCCCCAGGGCCACACACTTGTGCTACCTTTCTTGGGCCCCCTCCCCACAGTAGCACACTTGGCTCAGGGATGGCAGAGGAAGGGATGGCTTTCTGGTCMACACTTCCCCTCCCAGATGGAGACCACCCTCCAGGCCCCGCTCTAGCCTCCCGCCACACCTTCCTGGTCACCAGGGTTGCGCTACCCTTCACCTGCAGCCCCACACCTCCTGGGTGATGAGGGGCCATGGTCTCTCCTGGCTCCACTGGGAACGATGGCCAGGATCCTGGCTGTCCCCTGCTGCAACTGCAGACACCACAGTCTGTTGTTCACTGGAGCAGAGGTGTCATGGGGACGGGAGCCCATCTGTCGGACCTGAGCACCCCGGTTCCTTACACACAGTGAGACACATGCCTGGAGCTCGACTGTGTTTGCTGAATGAATGAGCAGGAGGCGTTTGTCCCCAGTCTGTGCCCAGTGTCCTGCCTGCTGCTGCAGCTGCCATCAGTGTGAGATGGTCCTGGCAGAGAGCAGGAGGGATGGGGCTGTGCCCCAGGGGCCAGAGCCTCCTGGAGTGGACTGGCCAATTTTAAACCATGGCCAGTGACTGGGCACGCCTCCCCAGCRCCACACCCAGCCCTGACCCACACAGCAGCAGGTAGGGAGTCAGCCTAGTGCGGGCTGCGCACCCTGGTGTTCTGCAGAGCACGGGATCCACTGGGCTAGGAAGGGGTGGCAGGGCTGGTGGGAGGTCTGATCGGAGGCTGGGTGGCATTCCTGTGTCCCCTGACCTGTCTTTCCCTGGCTTCCAGATGGGTCCTCTATGAGGAGCCCAACTACCGTGGCCGAATGTACGTGGTGGAGAGGGGCGACTTCCGCAGCTTCTCCGACTGGGAGGCCCACAGTGCCCGTGTGCAGTCGCTCCGCAGGGTGGTCAACTTCTTCTAGCCCCACCTGGGCCTCAGGATCGCCGGCAATAAAGGTCCTGAAAGAGGAGCRCTGAGCTGGCCTCTGCTTTCCTGGCCCCTTGCTGGCCTAGGGGCTGAAACCCAAGGGACTCGACAGACAGAGGAAGGCACTGGGAGGCCTGCATTAGGGCCAGAGGGGACCCTCTAGGGCCAGGAGACCAATCCCTTAATCTAACACAGCCACAGGCCTCCCGTCCCAAAGAGAGACGGTAGGGCAGGTGGGACAAGGCCCAGGGTGCTTCCTCCCACCCAGGRACCCCTGGCCCATTAGGTGGGGAGGGGGAGAAGGGGGCTGTGGGGCCAGCTGAGGCTGGCTTCCCGCTCTCCCCGAGCTGTGTCCAGCATGGGGCCCTCTCCCTGACTCAGCAACAGGGCTGCCAGGCCACGTGGTCTGCTTGGTGGCCAAAGGCCTGACCCAGGCAGGGCTCGTGCATCGGTATCTCTGGATTTTATCCTCAGCTGATTTTATGAGGGGCCCCTCTAAAAGAAGAGGAGAGCCCAGGGCGCACCTGCCCCTGTGAGGGGTCCTGGAGGGAAAGAGAAATGGAGGGCTCCACAGAAAGGAGGGGAGACTGGGAGGACCTTCAGGGCCCAAAGAAGCACAGGTTGTGTCTGCTCCGACCCCAGCCCCTGCAAGAGGCAGGGCCTGGCCGGCCACCTGGGTCCAGGATGGGCACCTTCACCCCCAGGTGCCAGTCTAAGGAACTTACCTGGGGCCTCTCCAGGCCCCTGGGTCCACCTGTTGGGGGTGGGCATGAACTTGGAGGGAATCACCCTCCCTAAGAGAGGACAGGAGACTCCTGGGCCCAGGTGTTTCTGGGAAGAGGGTCCATGCCCCCAACTCCACCCGTCATGCCCAGTGAGAGGACAGTCCCTGGAGGGGAGCTTGCTAGACACTGGAGGTAGCCCAGGTAACTCCTGCTCCTGCTCCAGACCCTCCCCCTGCCCCAATCCTGAATGGAAACTGCCAGTGGAGACAAGCTCCTCAGAGGAACCTTAGTCTGTCCCAGGAGAGGAAGAACCTGGGACCCTCTGGGGCTTCTGAGGACCTGGAGCGCTGAATCCCCGAGGATGGGGGACCCAGAGATGCCTGCTCCAGCCAGAACCAGGCTGAGGCCCGCTGGGCGAAGGCTCAGGTGGCCTGCAGTGTTCCCACTGTGGGTCAGGCTCCCGGTCCAGCTTTCCAAACCCCACACCTGACCCAGGGCCCTCTGCCACCAGCTGGCTCCTCACTGGCCACCAGCCTGGCCCTCACTCCTCATATCTTTCTTGTCTTGTTCTGCACTGGAGATTGAACCCAGGAGCACCTCGCCATTGAGCCACGTCCTCAGCCCTTTTTATTTTTTATTTTGAGTCAGGATCTTGCTGAGTTTCTTAGGGCCTCACTAAGTTGCTGAGGCTGGCCTTGGACTTTTGATCCTGTTACCTCAGCCTCCTGAGCCCCTGGGATTMCAGGTGGGCACCACGGCACCTGGTTTTTACCACACATTTTGCTGGAGATTTTTAAATAGGTAAAGGGGGTCCAAATGGGAAGCGCCACTCCCAGGCTGGCCACTTGCCTTGTGACCCCCCATTAGAAAATATTTTAATTAGTCCTTCCTTCCTTCCTTCC